AGTTTTACTGAGAGATGGAATTTTGTACATATGTATAATTACATATATTTTGATATTGCTATCGTTGTTTATGATTTAAATAAGAGATTTAAGAATTTATATATTTTATATCTAACATTGTTCCGTCAAATAAAACAAACATATCATTCCGTTTGACGGAACAATATTATAAATAAAAATATAAACACTGCTACTTTTTGGGTTTAAATAAATCTTTAACGATATCTGGCTCATATAAGGTGTGTCGTCCTGAACCAATTTAAACAAATCATTAAATATAATTATCTCTTGTAAGATAAAACTTTTTGGTAAGCCGATGTTCATCTATACAAAGTATAAAACAAATAAAAAGCAAATCTATACAAAGCATTTTAAACTGCACAATTATTTTTAATGCGATTGAGGGCACAGTCGCTGACGGAAACCTTAAAGTGTGTTAAAAGGGAACTACATTTTTATATCTAATACGATAGGATTCTGACAGTTAAAATCTTTTCCTAAGTTTTCCTAAGTTTATAACTGTTAAAATCCTATCGTATAAATTTAAAGTATGAAACTGCCGATTTGCACTGAAAATCAAAATTGTTTATTTTTTAATTTTTAACAAATTTATCCAAAAATCACTTGAATTTCCGCAGTAATCATCTTTATTGTCTAAGCTGAATAACAAAAACAATTGAAAGTCGATATTCATAGAAACCATGTGAAAAAAGTTTCTTTCGAAACCCTCAAACCAAGAAGATTCTATGTCAATTCAAGGAACCTATTACAATAATACGGCAATTTCATACTTTAAATTTTAACCCCTAATATATTGTTGCCCTTGTAAAACTTTTTTTATTTGTTTTTATAGTTCTTGTATAAATTTTATATTTTTAATATTTTCTTTTGTATTTTGTTTTATTATATGTCAATATATAGAATATATCGTGAACCCACGGCTACTACTTTAAGTAATTTATATACAATTATGCGATCTTATTAGAGAAAACCATGTCGTAAACTGGTATTCGTTCACGTCGAGACACGTAACACGGATGGGCCACCGCACGTCGCCATCGATTGGGATATGAATACTGTCGTCATCAAATATAGAAAAAAACAATACAGCGCCTCCTGTTACACCGTCATCGCGAAGACACTCAACATACCTCATTGCCACTACTAGTATAATTGTAATAAATACTTCTATAATAGTTTCTAATTTATTTATCATCATCATCACAAGCCTATAGATGTACCCGCTGCTGAGACTCAGGCCTTCCCTATGGATAGACTCAAATCAAATCGAATGGGAGAATGGGCCAGGACCCACCACGCTGCGCCATGCGGATTGGTGGACGTTAACTACCTAATTCTAAACCTCCTTATTCTATTTTTAACCCGGTATGTGACGAGTATTATAAATAATGCCCCATCAATTTTAATTTTTTTATAGTTTTTATCACATTGCCTTTTCATATTGGGTATATTTCATACTGCACGTTCATTATTTATAATGCCCCATTATCACTTCGCCCATAACATACACGACAACGTAAATTTGCAACTGACAGTTTCTTTGGAAACAAATACTATTTGTATATGTAAAATCTACATTAAATAAAAAGAGTGATAAAGTAACAAGACTATATTATAAAAGATGTGAAAAGTGTTTGATAGTTATTTTTTAATTAAGAAGAAAAAGCTTAATAAGCTTTATTTTTCACGATAAATTTAAAATTTTAAAAACTATTTATTAAACAATAAACAACGATGAGTATGTATCGAAGAGATTTTTTTTGAACAAGTTTAACTTCATGAATGTGCTTAAAATGCTATTTGAAATAAAACGTGTCTTAATTTTCGATGAAGATGATTTAATAATTGATAATTATTGATAATTTTCTATGGATAATAAAATAAATATTTTTTTCAATGAAGAATAGGAGTTGATTATTAGTTTTAATATCCATAATAGTCGAGAGATATTCTTGAATTGTGTGAGTTGTCCTTGTATTCAACACGGGCATTGTTTTTCTCAGTGCATCCGTACGAGTCCCGGCTCTTTACTTGGATATTATATGTGGATGCACTGCGCTGTTGCGGCGCATACGTTATGAGAACGTTATGCGTTGATTTATCAAATGCTACTCGAGGAACCGCGTAGGGATTCTTCACTTCGATGCGTACGAACATTATCTCTCTGCAAGAAGGTAGCTGAAAATTTTAAATATGTAATAGTTGATTATTATTTTTAGGCTTCAACAAACTTTTTTCAGTTATGAAAACTTTTTGCAATGTAAAGAGTATTTGCATGTAGATATTGAAAAGAACCGGCATTGATAAAAAACTACAATTATTAAGGTTTTTTTTATCGATTTCTTTCAATTTGTTGACAGCGTATTTTACTAACGAAAATTTTATTAGTAACGTTTTTCAGAATACTGGAAGTCCTCGTCGATACAAAGTATATATTAAATCCGTTTTCCGTCTCTGTCAGTCTTTCAATTAGACTTTTAATTATCCTGAATCAAGCAGCAGATCTTGATGCGGTTCTTACCGTTGGAAAGGATTTATTTTTCATGAAAGCTGCCGTCTCTTTAAAAGAAGCAAACATAAAAACTACCAAACGGAAATTCATGCAGACTGGAGAAATTGATTTGTAGTTTCAGGTGAAGGATTGAAGAACGAAGGAGCACAACACATATGATTTTAATAGAGTAATCTATACCACTTTTTAAAGCTTTTTTGAAGTCTCTTTTTGATAATTTTAACTTGTATGGAAATAAAGTCACGAATCGAAGTATATCACCTGAGTATTTAGTATGCTAAAGTATTAAGGGTATACATCACACAGTACCCAGTGCTGAGGTCAGGTGCTGGAATAAATGATTGCAGCGGGGCAATGTGTAATATGAAAAATCGTAATTTTATTGTTAAATATTTGAAAAAAAACTTCATCTTAAAAGCAGATTAAACTGCTTAGATTGCACAATCGTGAAACGCAAATATCGTAGAGAAAATAAGTTTCGTAGTTGTTAAAAGTTAATTTATTACTGGATATTTCAATAAACTCTTTTAATAATATATTATTACACTTACATCTAGGAAGATAATTTTCGATTGTTCATGTGATAGAACTTCGCCTGCAATATTGTCAATATAATAATGTATTTCGTTATTATCAATGCCGTATTGGTAAATAATATTATTCGTCGTCGTATAAACTTTAGTCATACACGAGAGAATAATATAAATAGAAATATGGATTTTGTTTTTCATCTTGCAATATTTTTGAAGCTGCTAACATTACAAACTTAATTTAGAATCAAAATGCGAATTAAATAATGTATATGTCATGCTAATATTAGTGCAGTGACGCGTATAAAACAACTAAAATGAAACATGGTATTTCAATTACGAATAGGCATTATTAAAAGAAAATTGTCGGGTCTGAAATTGCAAATTAGTTACAGTAATGGTATTTATTTATTAATACCTAATCAAATACACTTACTTTACATACATTGGCTTACGTTTTAAATATATTAATAATTATTATGTCGCTACTTAAAATTTTAATTTGAACATACTTAGGTATTTTATTCATTTACTTTTTATGGCAACGAGAACAGTAGAGTTATAGAAAAAGTTATCAAAGATGCTTTTCGACGAAAATAATTTTAAATAATTTAAAATCTATTAAGAAAATTGTTTTTGGCAAAAATAAAATATTACAGTTTAAACTTATTACGAGTCTTGAATGGATTTGGGCTATATTTTTTATTACAATCGATTTAAATATAGTTTAAATGAATTTGATGATTACTAACAGTTTCTAATTGGTCATGACTACGGTTTAAGGTAAAGTCACCCACATGGAAGTTTTTATTTTAAGGTAACTATTTTTTTATTGATGTGTACAGCCAGCGAAATTGGTACCTGTACTTCTTCAATGATCTTTAATATATAAAGGTTATTCCTTCTAGAAAAAATATTAAAAAAAACTTTATTTTTTATTTAATTGCAATAAATTAATTATAAAGTAGGTAACTATCAGATTAAAATTTCTGACTAGACGTTTTAATTTTATATGTTACAAGCTGTAACTCTCGCCAATTTGCAAGCATAAATTATACCCTATGTCAACCGTGTATGATGTAGATAAAGAATTTTAAAATCGGACCAGTAGTTTCGGAGGTTATTCGATGCAAACAAAAAAACATATACACAAACAAACAATCAATTCTTCCCTCCTCATAATATTAGTACCTATAGATAGCATAGACTATATGTAGGCAAAAAGATTCCTTTTTGATTACAATGTTACAAGCTGACCTGAAATTCATGTCACCTTATAATAATAAAAAGTTTTACTTTGCCTACATCATATGGTCTTTTATTTTTAAGCTTAGACCACTAACATTTGAGTGAGCTAATTACAAATAAATAAAAAATGGCTTATCTTCATGTTTGTTTTCATATTCTGTTACTTCCACCCAAACTATGACGCTCTCTATACAATGATTAATATTATTAAATACTCTCGTATTAAATACTCTTTGTATAGGTATAATATCTCTGGCGATGACATTTTGTTTTAAAAATTAACTATGAGAAATTGGAACTTTATAAAAAGGTTTTCAAATTCGTCAAGTGATCGTTTATGTCAGAATTTATTGTAAACGATAAAATATTAGATAGGATAATTTAACAAAAAATATAATAAAAAAGTTCTTCTTCAAAATGAGAAGCAGTAGTTTAGTGTTGTTCACATGTGCTGGTTTGTTGCTTGTAAGTTTTATTTATACGATGCAGCTTAAGATCTTTTTATTATTTAACTGTCATATCTCCTTCGCTTTAGGCCTACATTTGCAGCAGCTATATAAATCTGTCTGTATACCATTTATTTTATTTGTAACAGTTTTAATTATCACATTGGATCATTCTGTCATCCGTCCGTCTGTACATCCTTCCGTCTCTCCTATCCGATTTGCTAAACTATTAGATAAAGTTAAGCTTTTTGTCACACATAAATGTAAGTGAGTAAGCCAAAGGGGAATGTGTAACTTAACTAAATTTTCAACATTTAAGCCGCTTTAGGAAAAATGTAGAAAAATAAAAAGAAGCTTAAGTACACGTGTATATATCAAGAACAATTTGTCTTCAAAATTTCTGTAAATAACAGTATGTTGAAGTATTATGAGTGTATAAATAAAATATCCTACAGAGTGGCGGCACAATCCTCGGTGGATCGACAGCATGGACGCTGTTACGCATCTCGTACTACTTCTGGACGTCAGATCTTGGCGTGGAGCTAGGATGTAGTGTGCTGTTCATCACCGGTTCACTACTTTGTCTCCCTGCCTGCTGGCTCTGCACCATTGTACCTTATCATACGAAGTCGCAAACGCTTGTAACCACTGTAGGTAACAGATTTGTGTACTACTTTGTTTTGTACTATATGTCCTTGATCAAATGTGATTAAGCGACCTCGTTCATTAACAATTCAGCACTGATGTTTATTCACCAAAGAAAATATAATTGTATTAATGGGTCATTTTAATTTTTTTTGCTAGTCGAATAAAATAATTTTATGTTTAAAACTTGCTGGACTAAAGAATAACGAAACGAATATAAAACACGAAAATCGGGGTTAGCAAAAACACATTTTGATATCTACGCGCAAAATCTCAAAAGTATTAAAACAATGACCGAAGAATAAAAACGAGGAACTTAAAACGCCCTTACGACGCACGCGGTTATCTTTGACCAGTGTAACTGAGCCATAAGGGTTTAACATAAAATTAATATAAGTATCAAAGAAGAATAAAATACAGTATTACCGCGCAAGAAATTCAGCGTGAACATAATTGCAAGTAATTTGTTTGAATATGTATTATATTTATATCCTTACATAAAAACGATTTCCACCGGTATTGACCCCTAATATGGGTTTAAACGAAAATAAATAGATTTTTCTGGTGATGTTTCATTTACTATTACCGATAATCACACTTTGATGCTTATTATATTTATAATATTGCTTAAATAATTATGAAAATCAAATATTTTATACTCGTAGTCACGTGAACGCAAACAGCGGATGACGTCACGCTTCTCTTACTCACATCAGAACCATAATAAGCATATATAGAACGATATTAGTTTTATAGCGACGCCATGACAGAAGTTGGGGTTTTTTTGGCGAGATATTTTGAAAATAAATTGTATTTTTAGATTATATGAATGAGACTTTTTTATTTTTTATAAAACAAGTAATCTTATATTTGAATGCATTGTTAGTTAATGGCATTGGCGACGGTATCGATGCTGCTGTTGTCTCTGGGACTGTCGTCGGCAGCGGGGCTGTCGCGTGCGGTGCGTGATCCGGGACCACTCAATGCTAGCATGCTGCGTGCCATGGAGCGGGACCCCGTCGATACTGCTGTCAAGAGCTCATTTGCTGCAATGCAGCTTGAGGTTTTAAAAAGCCGTTTATTTAAGTGTATCTTAATTTTTACGTAATGCAATACGTAATGCAAGCAATGGATGAGAAGTTTGATAAGTGTACGATAACTAGGTATAGTCCTCGTATTATGAAGTATATATATATATATATATATATATATATATATATATATATATATATATATATATATATATATATATATATATATATATATATATATATATATATATATATATATATATATATATTATAGATATGTAATAATGTAAAATATCTAATGATAATTACTTTATTGACTAAATAAATATTTATATTATAGTATTAAAGGAAATGTGAATAAATTATTGCTGTTTGTGTACCTCTCTAATCCTAATATTTAAAAAAGAAATGATACTATTGTAGCTCCGCTGCTGTGGAGTGCAGTCTTACTCTGATTGGTACCGGTACCGTCAAGCTCTTCCACCAGCCTGTTGTGGCAGAGTATGGAATGGAAAGGTTTGTATTTTAAACATAATAAATAACCAACTTTGCCATCACAATGTACGTACGAGTATCTTAGTAAACTTATGTTTGCATGACCATAGTCAATAACAATATCTTTTTCCCTGATTTTTCTGATAAGTTTTTAATTATTTTTCCTGACAATTGCTCAGATTCATAGATGAGTAGCTGAAAACCCCGCGTAATAGAGAGAGAGAGAGAGTTCTGCGAGAACGAAGTTACCACAACACCTAGGAGACAATATAGACAAGTCCTTTTTTTACATTGACCCGACCGGGAATTGAACCAGGGATTTCAGAGTTGGCAATACCTTTAAACCAGGATAAACGTATGGACACTCCGCTACGGAGCTCGTCAAAACATTTAAAAATTAACACCTAGTACAAATAAAATTATATCGTTGACAGCATTTAGATCAATGCAATGTGCCTTTGTTCAAAACTGGATGTTTGCAACGGGCATTGCTGGAGCTACGCAGCTTTACTAATGCAATTTGCGCTCTCGCATCCGCCATTGTGATGGTCCTGGTTAGTACCCACTAGATTAAAACCATATAAGAAATAAGTTTTATACTACTTATGATATAATAGATTTTTATTAATCTACATCATTTACCCATATATAATAAGTTGCAAGAGTCATATTTTTTTCGAAGTCTTGTTTATGTGCTGTTTATTAAGGACAATGTCCAAATTAGCCTATGAACCTCTAAGAATATCTTGTATATCATAATTCTTATCATATTTTATGATTAATATATCAGCTTTTAAAATCAAACGGACACTGCCCATTTTTGTAATTACTTTAAAAAGTAATATCAATACATTTGATAAACTTCAATAAACGCTGCCACCATATTTTAATAAGTTGACAAATCAGGATCTATGCACAATTTGATGTATAATCAACCAATGAACACTTAAAGCGCTTGACATTAAAACGAGACTCAAAACGTTCGTAGATTTTTAAGCGGCTGGAAGCGCTCTTTTATATACGTTTGACAATTTTGAACTTTTGAAGTTTTGTTTGACAATCGCTTTCATACTCGCGTTGTGTTTACGTCGCTTGAGTTTGTTTATACGATTTCTTGTGTCTTGTGTTATAAAATAACGACTTGGCTTGAACTAAGGACTGATTTCGTCTTATAATATCGACCTCCGGCAGTGATTTACGGCATACCGACCTACTATAGACGACGACTTGGCATTTATTTAACGGATATTAACATGGAATCTGGGTGTGTTGAAGTATTTTGTGTTAATTGCGGTTCAGCTTCTGGTTGCATGGTATTAGAAGATGAGCAGATCCTTCAGTGTATACAACACTGGGTTGCTCCAAGATTGGTAAGTACATGCTCCCGATACAGAACCTACAGAACCTTTTAAAGCAAACAACAACAATCAACATTTAAAGCATAGTATACATACATTTCCCTACAAAAAGCAAGTAAAACAAACATTAAAAAGAATCTAACCGCACGCTACAATTGTTAAAATTATAACCTCAAATCCAAAATATATTTTTTGATTTATACATTTCTTATAAGTGTCCGTTACTTAAACATGTATTTAGACGTAAATATAGATACTTTAGAACACGAAAAGTGATAGTACATGCTTAGAGGTTCTTAGGCGAAAAATGTATGGGGGCTGGACATTGTCCTTTTTAAGTTTTGTCAAAATTTTTGATAGTTTTAGATTTATATCTTAAAAACGTACGTTTCAGGGTCAGAAAATTTTATGTGTATGTATTAATTGTAATTTACTGAACCAATATATGTTATGTTGCAATGTCCTTGTAGGACACATGTTGAGGATAATTTGTAATGTAAGAACATATGTACCGACATGGAGCAATAAACATTATGACTGTACGGAAAGCTCGTAACTTGCTCATGCAATGACTATGACTAAATATTCATACAGGTCAAATTGATAACCTCTTTTAAAGTCTGTTAATTATTATTTTATTACGAGTTTGATGGGCTAGCGGTTAACGCATTCGGTTTGCGATGCGGATGTTAAGCAACATTAGCAAGAGCTCCATAACCTTGGTCATATATCATGATGAGTGATCAAAAATTTACTCTCTCGAGCACGTTAATCCGCTAGTTTCGGCTGCATCTGCAGTCGTTAACACCCGATCCGCACTGAGCCCGTGTGATCCACCATAGCCCGTTCTACTATTCCGATTTCATTTGGTTCCATCCATAGGGAAGTTCTGTGTCCTAACAGTGAGAAAATGAATACGCTGACGACAATGATGATGTATTATTATTAATTGAAGGGTGTAACACTATTCACGGCGGCCTACGTAGTGGTATCAGGGGTGGTGGAGCGTGGTGAGGGCCGTAACAAGCTCCAGCCGCAGCCGCTTCGGATCGCGTGCCTCACACAACCACAGCTCCTGTCTCTCGCGCCGCAAATGCAAACCGCGCAGTATATGCCGCAGCCCACGTCGCCAACGGTCATGTGAAAGTATTTTGCCTACCGATCATCCTATCCGTCTTAAAGCTACTTATCCAATGTCAACAAAATTGGTAATACAAAAAGACTGGGAATGCACGCGTTGTGTAATATTTATCATGCATTTTATTTACTGGGCTTGTTTCTAGACGTTCGTGCTTTTAATATTGATAGTGTAGCTTGTTTTATGTGTTCTTTTGGGATATAGGAAAATCCTGTTCATTCTCACATCCTATTTACATTCCTCTATTAGACGTCTCCTCGTATCCTCATTAATGATGATCGTGATCTCTCATAGGTTGTTTGTTGATTTATTGTTTCGTCGTTATGTTTCACCATCTGTACCTGTTTAACAGCAGTATGGGGTATTTTCATCCAACATTACGGAAAAAGGTCCTACACTCTCGAACATGAGAACTGACACAATACGGTGATACTCATATTGCTAATGTTAATGTTACAATTTTATTAAGTCATTACAAGTTGATGTCAAAAATTTGTATGTGTTAATTAATTAATTACATTTTATGTATCGAATATTTATATTTTTATTAATACTTGAGAATTATGAAGTTATGAATAAAACATTTGCTTTTCAATTAAATAGGTAGTTTTAATTCTATATCCAAAGTTGGATGTATAAAAGGACCTTGCGTCAGCCCATAAATTCCTAGCCTATGTGAGGGAAAAATGTTTTATAGTTTCTATTTTTAACTGCATATCATTCCCAAATCCAATTTTGACGATATAAAAATGTGTCGATGCTCTTAATTCTTCACTCGTATTGGTATAATGTCAAAAAATAAAACTGCGATTCATCGAAACATTTTTTAATAATTACAAATGCCAGTTACCTATAAAATTTTTGTAGATCCGGCGAGTAATCAAGATGATAACAATTTGAACCATCCGACTTCAAATATTATTATTGTCTCTTTATTTCTTATAAAAAAATTAATATCTCTGTATATTAACAGGGGTCAGTTAGCAATGGCTTCATTAGTTGATGTTAACTGACTAATACTGTTTGTATGGTTGCAATTGTTAATTATGCAATTAAGTTCAATTCAACTTACAATATCACTAGCTATGTAACCTGCGGCTGACCCCTAATATTTTTGAAAGATCTATCCAACGATACGCCATGCTTTGGGAAGATTTAAAAAAAACATCCTGAACTTGTCATGTAGGGAATGTAGAAAATATTTTTTTCAAGATTTTATTTTACCCCCTTTGTCGGCGTGATTAAAAGTATATACTCGTGCTAAATTACACCTTTCAAATACAAATTATTTTTGAGCTAAACCGCAGAGCGACAGACACAACGAAACGACAAGGAAGCTTTATGACTATCGAATATTAAAGCTACTTTGTGTAGTTAAAAACATTAAAGAAAACAATCGTAAAATCAAAAACTCGTTTTAAAAATACAGTATCGTAACACAGTATCTAACAAACTATATCTACAGTAATATTACAGTAACAAAATAACTTATTGTAACATGTTATTTTTTCGCCTTATTAACAATTCCCATTAAATAACGTTATTGCAAAAATTGCAAAATTGAAAACGGTTGCTACTTTGTCTTCTAAAGATCGGAGAAAAATAAAGATAACAAACATAACAAAAATCAAAATATCGCTTTAAAAGTCCAGTGGCGTCATCTAGTGATCAGTAGTACTGTTAATTATTAAATTATGTTATTGGAAAAAAATTCAGATATTTTTTCATTTCATTTTATAATAAAAATCAAAATCCCGTTTTAAAAGTACCTACAGTAGTGTTATTTAGTGATCAGTAGGGTCAGCTAAATGTAACGTTTTCGTGTACTCAACTAACATAACATATGCTTTGTATATTAAGGACAACGATTGTACTGATTTGAAATATTCAAAACATTATTTAATCCTGCTGAAGCAGCTTAAATCATCAATAATGGATTTGGAAAAGGACGCCATGTGATATAATTACAATGATAAATTGAATTGTAACTAATAGTTTCTAGATTTTTGCGTAACTTTCACCGTTTACGCAGCGCACGCAAGGAATGTTTTAAAAAAATAAATATTCTCCCGTTTTTTGCAACATTTTTTATTGCTGCTTCACAACTCAAAGTCACAGCGTGATGTTATATAGTCTATAATAGCCTTCCTCGATAAATGAACTACTCAATACAAAAAAAAAAAATCCATTTCGTTCTAGTACTTCCTGAGATTATTAACTTCAATTAAACAAACTCTTTAGCTTTATTATTAATAGAGATTTTGATAAAGACTTTCTCCGACCTGTAATGCTTATTAAAAGAAGTCGATGACCATCATTATTGTAATAATGTATCAGAGAGCGGGTCTATCGCACTAATTCTAGTTAATACGTTAGGGTAAACTTGTTTGAAATTTAATTACTCATAGCTAACTCATAAATGACTCCCGACGGGTCAAGTATGTCTTCAGACCGACAAGAAGAAGAGGAAATAGGGTACACTCTGGATAGGATAATATTAATTGATAGTCAGGATATAGAAAAAGAAAATTGAGAATATCTTTTTATTGTAATTTTTTGAACACAATACAACATGCAAGCATTAAAATGCTTTATGAAAATTAAGAAACAATCATATCTCTTCTATATTTGGTACCTATTTTTGGTTATTTTCAAATTATTTAAGAAAACGATTTCTATATATATAGACAAACAAAAACTATTATTATGAAAAATTTCTTACAACAGGATGTGAGCGCGGGGGCGGACCGCGGTGGCCGCACTACGCTAATCATGTACAGCTAACGCTAGTTTGAAAACATTACGGAACGTTATATTGAAGAAGCGGCCCGCGGACCGCGCCCGCCCGTCCCACGCCGGCCAACCGCCGCCGCTGCGCGACCGCTGCGGCCCTGCCGCCCGCCCGCCCGCAGCACGGCGCGGCGGCACGCGCCTTAATAAATATAATTATCACTTCCCCCTCTGACACGACCTTAACGTCCCACCCAAAATGCACTATAATTATATTCACAATAGCTAAATATTTCCAATACGAGTCTAATATTATAATTTTAAGCGATCGACGTAGGTACTGTTAAACTTTTAGAATTCGTAGACGATAAATTCGGAGGCGACGAAGACATGCCAGAGGCCGAAGACGTAACGGATAGACCGCGAAGCGATTTCGGACCCGACATATCGTTAGGCCGTTAGCACATCACGATAGGCCATTTGCATTAAAGTACAGATTGCAGAAACGTGATACATCATTAATCGCTATGTCGGGGCAAAAGCGCATGGGTTCCAATTTCACACGACGTCAGTGTGCGCTTTTCAATCTATCTACTTTACACAATAATTCATTACGGCGTCGTTCAGTGAACTATCCGATGCCTAAAAGGCTTCGGAAACTAGAAATAGTTTTTACTTAATACGAACGTCGAACAAAATCGGAACCGTAACTCATAAAAGAGCTCCGCGCCGGAACCGCTCACGGTCGATACCGTTACGCGTTACGCCGGGCCAGAATCGGCTCGGGCTCGCGGCGCCGCGATCCTAGCTACGCATAAACACTATGATAACGCTACAACAAAGCGCTTCGAAATTTACGTGACCCTCCCATATAATGTAGTATCACATGCGGTCCCGGCGGAGCGCGGCGGGCGCGAATCGGGGGCGGACCGGTCGCAGCCGACGCGCGCTCGCCGCAATTGGTTAACATTAGGTCTATCTAGAATAAATAGGAGCGATGGTGGTTGCTCAGGGCGGCTCTAGCGTCGCGCGCCGCGGTGCTTGCGGTGCGCGCGCCCGCGCCCCCACCACACCGCCGCCAGCGCCAGCAGCGCCGTCACCGAGCGCCGCGCTCTGAGGCAACACCCACCCATGTACTCCATGCTCTCACCGAACCATGCCTGCACTATGTGACACGGCCAGCTACCCGACTGACATCCGTTTTATAACACCGTTTCAAAAATTGATAGAACATGGTTCAAATAAAATGTTTTAATGAGGGAGTATTTAAAAAAGTTATTATCGATCAATTAAAGTTATGGCACCACGTATTTTTATAGAAGTGCAAGACTATGTTATACATTCCTATTTTCTTTTTGTAAATTGAGTTTCAAAATTAGCTCTTCATGTTTAAGTAGGTATGTTATATATGTATATTTCGAAAATTACTTTCTTCTCATCGAGCCGCAAATTTCATTTATTGATGCCGTATAACCATTACATTATCGTGTACCTTTTACGAAAATTAATGTATGTTGTTTTCGGTCCAGAATTGACAAAAATATGCCGATAATAGTATAGCCATCTAGCGACATTTATTTTAGTAGTCTCGGTTTTAAATACTTCCCCATTGTCTTCAAAATCTTGTAATTAATGCCGGATTTAAATTTGCTATCATTCTTATACTATTTATAATAGCAACCTTATTTAGCATACTCAAGGAGAATATACATTAGCTTCCATCGACAAACAAATCTTGCAGCTTGCAAACTACGCGCTTGGAGTCCAGAATAACTGACAACTAGTAAATATTAGGAAATTTACTAATATAAGTTAATTTACTATTGTTAAAAACTTGATAATATTGTTAAATTCTATGAAGGTTATATGTGTGTAATATGTTATAAATCCGAAAAGCAATCAATTTTTTTGCATGCCTAAAGTTGTACACATTCGCAATGTGGACAACTTTGCGATTTTACAAAAAATAAGAAAAAAGCAAATACAAAACCGGCTTATAACTTTTAATTTTAAATTAAAAACGGTGTCGTAAACCAATGCCAGTGTCTACTTATTAGTAATATTGATATAATCTAACTATAGGCGGTGATGTAAAATTTAATAAGAAAACATGTATTTTGTAAATAAGGTTTGCTGCTCATATATATAAAAAAAAGAAATAGTATAAACTTCTGAAATGGATAACATAACGAGTGTTCTGAACACTCATAGGAAATATTCATTTTAGTTAAAATCTACATAATAATGTTACAAAAATTTACGAACTACCTAATAATTCTACGTAATTTTATAATAATTAATATTAAGCAAATAAACAAAAATATTCAAATATTTATATAAATTAAAAATAAAATACTTAAGACATATTATTATATGTAGGTAATACAGTTACAGTGCTCGTAGGATTATAGGCAATGTAAATCAAATTATATTAATGAATTCGCCTATTGATGAATCATACAATATTATATACTTATTTATTTATTTATTTATTATAACGTATTGATCATACACCTTTCAAGATAATGTGTCATCATGACAAAAACAAAATTGGAAGCCGAAATACATTGAAATGTATACAATGGAAGATTGTTCATAAGAAAATTTACTGTATTAAATTAGGAGTAGCAAAGTATGTATTAAACCTTACGTGAAATACATACTCTAATGAAGTTATAATAAAAAAATATCTGTTGGTATATAATCAAAACAAACATGCTGTTAGGTAGGATATTTAACCTTTTTGATCATTTTATACAGAAATTAACTAATTGTTATATAGCTCTTGTAACATAATTATTTGACAATATTTATATTGTCAATTTTTTTCACTCGATAATAACTAAGTTCATGAAGGCGGGTATAAAAACGGTTATATCAGTGTTAAAAGACACATTTCCCGATTGCTAACCACTCTGATGCCCATAAAATGACATGAAGATGATATTCACGTTATTTTCATTAGTTAATAATGTTTGAAACAATTAGGGGTGTAATATGTGAGGCTCAGTTAGATTAAAGCAATGCCCTACCACACGACAATCTATTACTTTTTAAAGGGATTTATGACTTGGAAGATCGACTCTATGAAGGACGAACAGTCAAAACTTTTACTACCTTTGATTCAAGAGGATCGGCAATGATAGCCTTACTTCGATAAATTTACACTAAAAATATTGTTGAATAAACATTGTCATATTATTATGTTACAATAATAGGTTCTACCTATATTCAAAACAGTTACATGCATGATAAATGAGTAAAATAGGTAACATGCAAAATAAAATGATTTTTGAAATGAAATTGTGTTCGATTCAAATACAGCTGATATTTTAATACTAAATTTGTGTGAGTCCAACAGAGTAAAATTAGATAACTTGGATTTTGATGAGGTGGACATTGAAGACATTGAATAAAACAGAAAATAGGTTGCTTCCCTTTGTAAAATGGGCTGAAACGATTCTGGTAGGTAACAATTGTTTAATAAGCCCAATAAAGAGATATTGACGATTTTATTGTTAAGAAGTAAAAGAAATAGTTTAACTTATGAGTTTTGTTTGCATTAGAACAATTACAAAGTAATAAAAGCAAACATTAAATATATTAAGATGACCGCCAATATAAATTACTGGCATCCAACATGTAACTCACACAAAACAATTTATAGTAAATTGCATACAACAATGCATATTGTATGGAAATCTTATATAAATATTAGAATCGTTTTATGTAATTTCAGCAGAAGTGAATCGAAGACAGAAGCATTGAAATCTAATTGTGTTATTAGAGCATATGTGTGAACGAGTTAGAAGAGTGGGGATGGTTACCGATGCACACAACACGCGAGATTGCTCACCAAAGTAGCACACTGCCCGCCCTGCAACAAGCGGAAACGATGCTTCACACGGAGCCATTCATAAGCGACTCGAATGAGACGGCTGAAGCTTTATAGCACATGAATCACTTATTATTTGGTTATCCTTTTAAGAGTTAATACATTTATGTAACGAATAAATCTCAAAACGATAGCGTCACAAAACATAAATTAGTAATTAAGAAAAAAGAAGATGGCTACAGTATTATGAATAAAAGCTTCTATTAGAGTGTAAGTAAAGTAACAGTATTCCTAAACTGGAAATCAATATGTAGGTATCAATTGTTAAATGAAAACAGTTTATCAATATTTCAGCTGCATTGAGTAACAGAGTTAGAGGTAAATAATTAGTCAACATTGCAATTTTAAGTCCAGAGTGAAAAAGATTCAAATTCAACATTTAAGTAATATACGCCCTCAGCAATTCGGCGTTACCCATACTCATTTCAGAGACAGGACGCGGACGTCCTCACGAGCATCAGTTTTAACTGTCGTCGTCTACACAATCTAATAAAGTATCACTTCACTAATCAAAGCTCTCGGTTCGCAGAAGAGGAAAGAGAGGTTGCGATACGTCTTCGATAAATCAATCGTTCAGTCTACTTCTCCGTCGTTGTGATTTTGTCCGCACTATCTTGTGCGCGTGAGTGGTGTGCGAGCAAGTGCGCACCTGGCAGGAGGCGCAGTGTGGCGGCGCGCAGCCCGCGAGCTCCAGGCGGTGCGCGCCCTCCCCGCCCCCGCCCCCGATCATACCCCTCCCCCCACCCGCCATACAGCATCCACTCGTTTCTTCGCACTCTGGCTCCCAGCAGTCTACCTCACCCAGCTGAAAATATTAAATAGAATGGATTTATTAAAAAAAGCTTTTGTTGGATATTATTCTGGACCATAGCCCAAAGTGGAAGGGTTGCGTTATTTTAATAGATAATTCCCACGGCCACCTTCCAGTTCCATCATCCGACATTGGTTATTACTTCGCATCAAAATCTTTGCCAAGACAATTTAAACAAGCTTAATCTCTATGGATTTAGTAGTGCATGTTCAAATATTAGAAACGAGTTCAATATCTACACGCCAGACCTCTTGCGGGACAGGCAGTAAGAACCAATCGCCACCAGATATGCCAGTATAGATAAATAGAGTACAGTAGACATAAGTCCGAATTGAGTTATTGATGAGAGCTTACAAGGCATTCACAGATCTGGCACTGATAAAGCCACCGCTCGCCGCTTCGGAAGGTAACGTGATGCATTTCCTGGTGGCGACAGTGATACGCTGGGTCGCAGTGCGGGCAGCAAGCCGCGGGCGCCACCAGTTCTGTTAAGCTGCTGATCTCCTGAAAAAATCAAGTCATACATACGGTGTTAGTAAGCTGATTTTTTTGCCAGTCCAATTCACAACTAATATTTTTCAATCATAAAAAAAATTAATAGAAATGAGAAAAACCAGGTGAGAATTTACACAACCTACTGCCTTTGCAGTAGAAACAAAATGTATCATTCATATTGTTTTACATATCTGATAACAGTAGAGTGACTACTTGAATATGAGAAGGTTTCTTCTTCGTCTTCCTACGGGCGTCTCCGCAACCCTACGACAAAGTAGCTCCTGTTTCGCATATGCATGAAAAGGCTAGTTCTTCCATAAGTAGATGGATATAAAATTGTACAACGACAGATGACCTACATATTTCGTAATGTGCTTATCGCTCATTACACTATATCTCTAAAGCTCATAATTATCAACCTAATAACAGGGGCAAAATATTAAAAGACGGATCTTTTTATGTATACCGTGGTGGTAGTGTAGTTATCGTGCAGGTCGCAGGCGCATTGGGCCCGCACGCAGCTGGCGACACCTCTCGTACACGAGCACGACTGACATCCACCCGCCTCGGCCCATCTCGAACCGTCAGTCATTATTTTCCCTTGCCATGAACAACCTGAAACATAAAACAAAATAAAGAACTCAACTATCGCACCAAAAAACTTGTTGAAAAAAAAATTATACACTCCAAATGTATCACTTTGGGTTCTTATTAGATTTTATAGCGAGAGAAAATTAAGAACTTATATGTTTTGAAGACTCTTTGGTTGTGCAATTGCAAATTCTTAAAATGTTTACATATTTCTCGTGATGAAAGCTAATTGGAATATTTTACGATTTAAGAAGTCTTGTAAAAGTCGCAATAAATCAACTAGACAATCCATTACCACGATCACTCCGCCAGGAGTAACACTGAGAAGAAGAAGTTTATAGCAGATATATAATAGTCAAAGAAAGACAAAACTAATAGTTGTTACGTTACAAACAATAAAGATAGTTTGGGTGTAACAGCGTAATAGTTTTGTTTGTTGTAATGGTTTGATTTTGTTAGTTCATTCACTAAAAAAATACTAAGATACTCACTTAATTCGCATGGTTGAGTTTCACATTCACATCTAAATCCTCCTTCGGTATTTATACATCTCGCACTCGGGTGACACGTGTGGAAGCCTTCTATACATTCGTCGATATCTGAAGAAATTGAAAGTGTAAAGAAATTAATAGATGGTTGGTATTCATATATTAACTTGATAAAATATTTAGTTTAAATAAATCAGTATCAGTTTAAATTAACTGAAAGTATGAAGACAAGAATTTATTCAACAGGAATTTAATTCATACAAAATTATATTATTATTAGATTGTGGGAGTGCGGTGAAAGTGTTTCAAGTATAGGGACCGAGTGTTGCTACTTAGGCTAAATACAGTTTTGGTATGTTGTTAAATATAAACTTAGACATAAGTATTTCAATTATGTAAATATCTTATTTTTTATATTATCAGGACCACAAGGTAACTAGATCTTATCATCTTATTAGAATTCGTATTGAATAAATGTCAAATCTTTGCTTTAATATTCTCGCAGCGCCATCTCTGTAAAGGGAATTAAGATAGTCAATATCTAATCGACAGCAAGCACAATGGCCTGTAGATAATTAATAATAAGATAATATTAGTGAAGAAAATTATTTAATTAAGAAGAATACGTCAAACACAAGGTACGATCAGAAACAGACAGCACAGCAAAGATAAACAATAATCAATAAGTGACAAAGTCATATTTAAATTAAATATATAAAAACACTTATCTAAAGAGGTTGGCAAAGCTATCGTCAACACAATAGACACATAAATTCGATTTTTATGATGGTACAATGTTACCTTCGCAGTAATCGAGATGTGTATCACGCCGGTATCCGGCTCGGCACACGCAGTAGTATGAGCCGGGTGTGTTAACGCAGAGGGCGCGTGGTCCGCACGCAGGCATGTCGCCAGGGTGCGCCGCAGTCACGCACTCGTCCACGTCGCGCTCGCACCGGGACCCAGCGAATCCGTGCGGACATTTACACTGCTCGGGAGCTTCACATACTCCACCGTTTAAGCAACCGCCCGTGCAGATCGCTGTATGAACCCCGACAAAAATTGGAATGAAGATTAAGGCGCCTCAATATTTCCGTCCGTTGCCTAAGACCAACTAAAATTTTAGATTGGCTGGCCTTGCTACAGATTTGGTTTCAATTTGGTTGGCATTGGATTCATTGAATTTGTACGCAACATTATACTTTAACTCTACGTTCAATACTGTATTGTTAGCTATAGTGTAAAGATATATGTGTAAAGATCGGATTGAATCGAATGTGCTCAAAGTTTATACAGTATTGAGCCTGGAGTATATTTTGATTAAATCCAATGTCAACTAAATGGAATCCAATACAGTTAACTTAATTAGTTTTTAATATTTTTAGGATAAAAATATTTTACTAAAATTGAACTCACGATGAACGATTAAGTAAATACAGACATTTTAAATAATTAGCTCGTTTAAAATTACGCCATTGTGATTTTTATTTTTTTAAAAATGAATATATTTTATTTGGCGGTATTGTAATGCGCACCATTCCCAAATCAAGTATTTTCTCAATTCTTAATTACAACACATTTTTTCAAAATAAACTTGCACGTGCACAAGTGTTAAATTACCATTTGATTCTTGCATTGACTTTCATTACAGTTATAGGTGAATATATGATGTCTTACGGGTACAAGAGTATCCGTCGCCGGAGTAACCCTCGTGGCAACGACAAGTATAAGAGCCAGGTGTATTAGTGCATTCAGCTTCGGGATGGCAGCCATGTGACTTCGCTGCACATTCATCCACCTGCGAACAATACCAGATCCACCGTTTGTGTCTGTACGTCGTGATCTCATTTGTTATATAATTAAAATATTAATTTGTGTTATCCTCGCTTTTACAGTGTTTTTCCAAATATATCAAATGATTTTAATACATTATTCCATCTTTCATTCGCTCACCCGTAGCTATCAAAATCCTTTTGAGCGCATCTTTAAATAGCTTCAACTGTAGTTATGACAAAAAACGAGCCTTTATTATTAAAGAAAGCTTGTAAGTTCATTTTACTTACCTCATAACAATTGAATTTGTCCTTTCGTTCGTATCCAGGTAGACACTGACATACATAACTACCAACAACATTGACGCAGCGCGTGTTGGAGTGGCAATGGTGACCACGCAAGCCGCCTTCCTCCTGACATTCGTCCACATCTGGAAGCAATCAAATTACACATAATATATTATCCTGTCAAATTAAAAAGAAAATTGAACCCCATCTTTTGCGGTTTATTTTCCTTCCGTAATTACAAGGCCGGTTAATTTAAAATTATATCAAATATTTAAAAATTTATCGTTTACCTTCACATGTCAAGCCGTCGCCTTGGAAGCCCTGGTTGCATGTGCACGTGTACTTTGTATTGAGATTCATACATGTAGCGTTTTCATCACAAGAGTGGCCCATACTGCAGTAGTCTACGCCTGAAAGTATCATAAAATCGATTTAAATCAAATGGTGGATAACAAAACCTTTTTCTAGCCAACAAAGTGGTGATTACATTTACGATATAATTAAATATAGAGTCAAATTATTACATACCTGGACAAAACTTGCAGCATTCTCCGGGCACAGAGAATTGATCTTTTATATCACAAGGGAGCTTAGGGCAATTCTTCTCCGGATTAACACGGCCACATTGCATGTTACCGTCGTGACATACACATGTCACTGCGCATTGTTTAGGGGTGTATCTGTCTCCATGTTCGTAAAGTGTTCCCATAAGTAAGCACCGCTCTGAAAAATAAATATGAGCTTAGAAGTAAGAATATTGATGAAACTATATTGTACTTTACAAATATTTAGTATACGTTACACGATTTTCTGCTTTTTTAGTTCTAAAGCTTTCTAGTAAACGATTTGGATTAATCGCTTCTATAGATACGTTATTTAAAATATAAAAAAATATTTCTGTGTTTATTTTTTTAAATACTGTATAAATGAATAACACCGTAACAAGCTCTACCGAACGGAATTTTCATAAGAATGGTGTCTGTCCAATGGACAAAATACTTCATAAACAATTGTTTGGTCAATCAAAACGGGCTATAACTGAGCACACGAGTTCACGAATTGGTCGGTGTTAACGGCTGCAAACGCAGCCGGGACCAACGGCATAACCTGTCTTCCTAAGCACGGAATAGCAATAGATTGTACATTTTTATCCATCCTATGACTGGCCTTTGTAAAAGTTAAACCTCCACATCGCAAATAAAATTACGCTAATTACTGCGCACTATCAAGTATTATTGAGTTAAGAAGTAAGCCAGTTAAAATGCGGTTTTTTTTACTAAAATCAATTTTTTTACTATTTTGTCTATTCTGCTACAAATTCATAAACACTACTATACTGGATTTTTTAAATATTTATCATTAAGAATATTTGCCAGTATAGTGTTGAGAATGCACATTAAAATATTATATATTCTTTAAAATTAACCGCATTGGGCTCAGATATTTAGTAAGTGCTATACACATTGCTACTTAATAATATAAAATTTCATCAAAAACCATTAAATAATTTTATGTCCTATGTGGTATATTTTACTACAAATTTTACAAAAAAGAATTTAGCCTACAAAATATTATAGCCCACTAAATAAAGAGGTAAATTTATTTTTAAAATCTGAAGGGACTCTTCAATTTATATGGAAATCGAGGTGAGTACGATCATAATTAGGTACTTACTCAGGCAAGTGGGGCAACATTCCCCTGGATGTATAACTGGATTCTTGCATTCTGCTCGTTCGCATTCAACTGGCCTGCACGTGATTTCACCGTGCTATAAAACATATATTTGAAGATAAGTCATAGTTTTCATTACAGAGTCCATCGCACATCAAAACGACATCGTTTTCTTACCACGCAGGAGCAACGATTGCAATCACTCTGCCATGTAGCGCCATCCGCATGGACAGTGCCATTGGAGTAACACGACTTTTGACAGTCGCATTGTTCCAATCGTGATAGTCTAGATTCAGCACTCAATAGCTAAAAAAATAATAATTAAACTGATATACATTTTTTTAAAGAGTCATCTCTATATCAACGGTGAGCCCTATTTCATTAAGTTTAATATACACATTTTAAGATAGGTCTAGAATAGGCAATTTAGATGAATACCTTAAGCGAAAGGTCATGGATATGTGAAGTGAGCTCTTGAACTGTAGCTTGTAATAACGCAAATTGACCGCAAGTAGGACATTCAGAGTCCAACCCTGGGCATTGCGTAAGATAACCATGAGGACCGCTCACTAACCTCACATCTTGAAGTGTGCCCTAAAATGTATAAAATCCGTATGTATAAGTATTTATTACGTTGGATATTATCATAGACATAGTCAGATGCTTCAGTCACACAGAAATAAACCCCATATATAAAAAAATCGGTAAACATGTGAAGAAATAAATTACCTTAAAAAGTGAATGTTTGCTGTTTCTTTGTCCAACCCATAGTGCTAACTGCGGTTGTGAGAAATTGCGGTCAGGGGGTGGAATAAGGCGGCGATATAAAGGGTGGCAGTCGACAAGTAATGTGGCTTGGGCGCCGGAAACGGAGAGCGCGAGGCGATGCCACGCGCCATCCGCCAGACGAAAGGGGAAGGTCTCCACGCGCGCTGTCGCAGTGCCCGCCGCCACGTAGTGCAGCCGCACTTCATCACGGCGTCCACTCGACTGCACCTCCAGGTACCTGCGCAGCGCCACATTGTTGCACTACAGATCGCTTCGAGTCAGCAGAACGCTTCACTGCGCCCTCGCGAACTGTTCCGAGGTACACACATACAAAGCAAACAACACATATATTCGGGCAACGAACGGGGCGGGCGCGACCGCGAGCGGACCTCGGCTCGCTCTACATCTCAAAATCGCTCGGCCTGGATAGGGGACCATGTACCTCGGAACGGATCGCGTTCGGTGACGACCGAGTCACTTAGGTGTTTGATTGATTGCTACGGAGAGACTGAGCATCTCGTTGTGTGTCCAATGAATGAATTTCGGGAGAAATGTGGGCAGTTGGCGGGCGACTCAGCGAGCGATTTTTCCTTTTCGTGCAAATGACGCATCTCCGGGTGTAATTTTGGACACAGTACGAGACGTTCAGATTTCCATGTCGCTTGGAATGCAAGTGCGGACGAACCAGACGGTGTCCCCTCGAAGCGAGCACGGGCTCGCGGCCGACCGCTCCACGACAAACAGTTACATCCAGGTAAACATCGAGAGATAGGTGTGAAGGATAGTGGGATAGATACAAACACAACACGTCAAGACACAGAACACAAGACGGACGATGGCGTAGGAGTCGCGGCAGGCGCATGCAAACCGGCCTGCCACGAACATATACATCCATGCAGAGGACACAGTGTACCAAATGAGGTCAACGAATGGATCGAGGAGGACATTCCGAGGCACAGGACATTCCAAGATACATGATTCTCCCCTATGCGCGCGCACGCATGTCGCCACAAGACGTTATGCGTGCGCGCTGCGATGTTGAGATCTAGAACTCACCAGAAGCGGATCCCTCGCTGAGCTGCGCGCTTCCGCCGCCGCTCATGCCGCTCTCGCGTTCACCGTTCATCCAACGTGTTTAACTCGACACCAAGTCAACTGAATCATTACAGCATGATATGATTTTCACTATTATTGAAATTACTATAACAGTTAAAGTATGTATAATGTTGAATTTCATAAATTCATAAATAATTTTAGTCTCTGCATTCAAAACACTTTTATAATCCTATAATGAAAAATAATAATATAGGTATATTTATAAACCATTTGCCAAGAAAGTGTGCCACACTTTTAGCAAGTCTACTAAAAGATCGAGAAATAATGTTAATTTATATTAGGTACTCATTTACACTGGTTTAAACATCTCATAACAAATAACTTTTTCAGTTCTAATCCATTCATGTCATTTTAAATAGAGTTGATATTAATTATCCACTTATTTACCTGTTGTAGCCATGTGAGAAGGATAATATCGTTCCTGAATTGGCTGGCTCCTGCCGTAACGCCGCCAGTACTGTGAACTCTGGCGAGCGGCGAAGTAGTTCTGTAGCACGTTCATAAGCGCTGCCTTCTACTTGTAGTGATCGCGTATCACCTAGAATACAATACTGCCGTTTGAATAGAAAATTGCGAAAATTTTAATCATTATCTTGACAATAACTAGGTACCGGGGTTTATGATGTTTATGTATATTTAAAGACGATACAATCACTTTAATACACACTTCTTCAAATAAAGTCAATCATGGTCAAGGTATGTTGCAATGGCTATTACATTGAAGTGAAAAAAGATACCGTGGAGGGGTGAGGATATAGCGTGAAAGCAGTTCAGTTATTTAAACTACGAAATATTTCTGATTGCCTATAATTCTCAATTATACTAGTTAATTCTGACCTTTCATACAGCACGCTGCGGTGCAATAAATTTGATAGGGATCAGAAACGAGTCTATGCCGTGCAAACAGCCTTGATACGTAACTGTCGGTAGATGTGGCTTGCTGCCAAATTAACTTTACACTATCTTTTATTTTCAAATGATCTTTTTTTTACTTTTATATTAGATCTTTACCTATGAAATTGACGTTTTTCATGAAATAAATAAAGCGTATTTTTTTCAATTTTTTTTTATTAATCAAATTAATCACCCATGCTATCAATGCATCTTTTCTAACGCATTGGTAGCTTATTGATCCCCTTCTTGAAGAAATCAGCTGGACGGGAGGCAACTTCTTTAAGGCATTTTGTACTGCCTCTCGGGTATTGAATTTTTTTCCCGCTAAGAAGTTATCCAAATCCTGGAAAAAATAAAAGTCTGTAGGTGCAAGGTCTGGTGAGTACGGAGGGTGACGGAGAACTTCCAACCCCAGCACTTGTAGCTTAGAGACCGTCTGCTTTGCAGTATGAATTGCACGTTGTCGTGCAGGAGCAGTGGAGCCGAAAGATTTACCAAAGCTGGTTGGAGACGTGCGCGCTTCTCCATAATTGTGTTCAGTTCTTCACAGTACACATCTGCAGCAATGCTCGTCTCGTTTGGTAAGAAGCTATGATGAATTACACCCACTTTAGACCACCAAACAGTGACCAAACAGGGTCCAACCAACTTGCTGAGCGCTTACGATTGTCGAATAGGGTCAATTTTTCGCCAAAAGCAACAATGCGGTTCAGAATTCCTTCTTTGTATACTTGTTGAGCAGTGCAAGACACGTTTCAACGTGTACTTAGTGCTGGCGATCATTGTTTGATTACTCTCTATAATTTTAATGTTTACCGAAAGAACTAACTGTTACTTTAGGTTTTGCAGTGTGTGATCTGGGTTGAGATTTTATTTGACTATTTATTGTATCCGAAGTCGATGGTATATTCCAACCTTCATCTCTATAAGAAACTGTTATGCCATGTGTATAAAGATATTTAATGAATTACCAAATTCAATTCAAGAGTTACCTTAAATATTTTAAGAAAAAAAATATATATTTATTAGATAATACGCTTTATTCGATACATAACTGGATAAATGACAATAATTAATAAAATATAGGAACTTGAGTATGACAATGCCCAGATGGGAGAGTTGAACCATTTCTCAAAATTCAACCTAAATTGCAAGCTAATAAAACATTAACACAGTCGTAGATCATGTATGGAAGACCAATAATGTATGTGTCACTATTGCACAAAATGTTTGGTTTGTTTCTTTTAAGTTGCGAAAAGTGTTTTGGTCACTACAAAATAAATTTTAAATAATTAGTAGTTTTGAGATACTGGCCGTGTTGATCGATGTAAGTATTGTGTATTATTTTTATCGTGTTTGCTGATTATTCTAGTTTGAAGTGTATTAATTTTTTTAACAGTAATTGAATACTTTTTCTGCAATGAAAATTTTATGTCGAAGTGATGTATGCGGGAGAGTTGAACCACTGTACTTGTTGAAGACATCAGTGGTTAATTATACCATCTGTGGTGATGATTCTTCTACCATAATACTACTTACACTCAATTCAATATTATAAATGTTAATAACACAAGTGAACAGAAGGCAAATAACATTTAGAATAGTTTTTAAAATTTTTGAGAATAACGATAAGTATCAATTCCAAATAATAAATATATGAAAGCAAAACTACGCAAAAGACTCTAATAGAAAGATGATACTAAAAAAATAAACAGAAATTACTACAACCCCTGATAATGAGTTTCCTCAGACTTTTGATCATATGTCCCTCATAGTGGGAGAGTTGATCCATTTCCCATTTTTACTTCAAATCGGCTTCGCAATTTACAGTATTGAAATATTTAAAAAGTAATGATGCAAAAACAAGTCTATATAAATTACACATGAATTAAAATTATAATCTAGTCTCTACGACAAATCTATTCGAAGATATGATAATTGAAGTAAAAAGAGGTTCAAGTCTCCCGGACTTCCCCTACTTAAAATTCTTATAAAACACCCAGAAACCTATATTTTCATGCACGCGGCTTTATAATCGAAAACACGAACCACTACACTTAGATGGTTTTCAATTATTGTTAAAATTTTTGGTTAAAAAAATGTAATAGTACCTACACTACTCCATGTATGTGCTGTATTAGAACATCGAATATTTGGCCTTCTATTCTTGAAAGACTGCCGTGTTGGCGCCTGGCTTGGGTTAGAAACAAAACTCGAAAATACTTTGATTAATTATAGACATTTTAAAATCACATTTACAACCCGTAAATATGATAATCCAACAGATACATTTTTATTCCGATTTGCAGTTTTAATACGCACTGTGACATCGTACGAGTAATATGTCCGAACGTTGGCGCCGTCGAAAACTTTGAAGTGAGGCGTTATGTCTTCGGCTATCTTTGAGACTCTGAGCGAACATCTTTTTGTATTGTTGATCGAAAGTCAGTAATATTGTATGTTAAGTATATAAGATACTTCACTCTTTGGTTGCTTTGCACCTTTCGATCAATATGATGGAAGCTTACTCCCGATCCTCGTATTACTTCAGCTGTTCTCAGGTTTCTCTATTTCTATTACTACTATCGATAATATATATTAAGGCCTTTCGTTGTAAATATAATTTCTTTTATAGATACTTAATATTTTGGTGATATCTACATAAAAAATTTATATAAAATACCTATATAAATATCACTAAAAATAATGAAATTAAGAAAATTTACAAAAAACGGTGACGGTTTTTGGAGACGCAGATTTATTGTACAGGTATCTTTTAAATGTTTGCGTTAGATAAGTGAAATATTTATTTATATACCGAAAACTTGGCCATAACTTCGTATAGCAAAATAGTAAACTGTATAAAGTACATTTGAAAAGTGTTTAATGTATATCTCGTTGCAATGCGACGAATGAGAAAACGACTGCATTGCGCAAAATATGTGCAGATTGAAAAATCTCTTTACTAGAGTACATTAAAAATGTTAGCGCATAGTTGGTATTTTTATCGGTTTTATTATCCAATCTGGATCGCCGTAAGTATGCTCGTAACTTTTCCAATTGGTCATTTTTTCCGATAAAGTACAAAAAACTTTATTTTCGTTTTCAATTCACATGTAACTTATATAGTTGCTTTCGTTTATGTTTTTTAAATAATCATTATTTTCTGTACGTTGAGATATACACAATAGATATAATGCGGTTTTCATGAATAAATAGAACACTTCATGAGGAAAGTATAAATATGCCTAGGATCTCGCGCAAAAACGCTGGCGGAAAACTAGCCTATTATACAATCATTACTCTTAAATAAGTTTCAATAAAATCGTTAGCTTTAGGCTTTTTTAAAGAGCAGAATTTTCTCAAACGCTAACAAGTAAATGGGCAAGCGAGTGGATATTCAAAATTTCTTTCTTGAGATGAAAATTTACCTACTACTTATATTTTCTTAAAGCATTGTAAAAGATCGTCAATCTCATAAGCTGCTTACTCATCTTTGTAGATTACTATACTCGTAGCTATGGATTCCGTATTCAGGAGGATTGCGCAATCAATGTTTATTCAGTGTTCGTGGAACTTTCTCTTCGGTTGTTTTTCTATAATGTCTGGATAACAGCGGGGCATTTGTTGTTATTGTGGGTGGGAGTCGACGAACTGTCTGACTGCGAACTTTTGCGACAATACGTCCTTTTTTACTTGATACAATAAACATTTCAATTTACTTATATTCTTTTAGAATAATATAGTCATTCAAGTGTAGATTGTTATCGTGTGCTGTTAAATTGATCTGTATTATTAAGGGGATGAGAACTGTGAGGTAAATTATATTGTGATGCAATATTCGCGATACTCTATTATATATACTTACTACACAAGTTTTTCGTCAGCGGTTTCGACCGCGTGGTCCTGCTAGCCCTTTTATAGAATGGCGCCATTCAATTTATGAGTTGACTTTCGATCAGCCGAGTAACGCAACGTTCTACAATACAAGTGAACAAAGGTTAGTCAACTAATTAACTATCAATTTATATCGATCTTTTTGATTAGTCCTGTATATCGATACAGATACAGGACTAATAAAAAAGATATATGACAATATAAAATGATAAACAACGAAATTATTTTTGTCCTGTAGGTCACGTTTATTTTAAATTTCGACTAAACTAACGTTTTTGCGCCTTTTAAATCAACAGTCTTGTTGAACGGTCCAAATGATGATATCATTATAAAACTAGGCGTGCAACTGAATGGCGCCATTCAATTAAATAACTAACCACCCAATTGAACTGTTATTTGAACCAGTTGGCTGCGATGTATATAAATCTTCCTGAAGAATATGAGTGACAGTTTATACTGATGAAAATCGTATTAAAATCCATTGTGTAGTTTAACAGCGAGAAGCGACTTTGTTTTATACGATTTATTATACAATATTATAATATTGGATCACAACAATTAACTTTGAGCAACATTTTACTTAATAGGCAAGATCTATATTTCTTAACAACATACACCAATACATAGTAAATAATGACTTAATATGTAATAATTTCAGTTGCACATAAAATCTAAAAAATACTCTACTCTTGAAAGTTGGTCATACCCGTAGAAGAATAATCGAAGCGCTCATCATACTTAGGAAAA